TCACTTTCTGAAGGAATCTTGGATAATGAGTCTCAGGGAATATTCCTTTAAAGATTGAAAACAAAATGAACAAAGTTATGAATCTCCATTCAGATTTAAAGAATATATATTCTAATTTTCTGACCGCATAAAACTCTAATGTACCTCCATTTGAGAGGCAGAGGCTGTTTATCGTGATGTGTCCGCTTCTGTTATGGTCACTCCTGTGTGTTTAACTGCATGTGAGAACCACCCAGATCATATTGACAGGAACATTAAGCTAAATTATGCCAAGAGACTTTTAAGGATCATTAGGGCTCACCTGTACAGTAACTCGAGAGCTACAGTGTCTCCGTAGTCATGTGACAGGATGTTGATCCTCTGCTCTGACAGACCCAAATGAGTAACCAGGGCCTCCACCACACTGGCCTGCTCGAAGATGGAGTAACGGTGCGGTCGCTGGAGTTTGTACGATAGAAGTAATGATTAAAATTATGGATAATAAAATAGATTCTTTAAAAACTGTAGCTGTAATGACTGCATGAGTTTCATCTCACCGGTTTGTGTGAAAAACCAAAGCCCAGGAAGTCGAGAGCAATGACTCTGTTAAAGCGTTGAGTCAGAGAATCCCAGATCTACAAAACAACAGAATGAGATTCAAGAAACATAAGTAAAAGTGCAGTGTCCAGTCACTGTCAATAAATTGCCCTCAGCATTAAACTATTGCTGCTTTCTTGAAATGTTAATGCAGTTTTATGCCACAAAATTACTTTAAATGGCGCTCTGCTCACTTACCTTATACCAGTCATAGCTAGAAGTAGGAAAACCATGAAGCAGCAAAAGGACATCAGAGCTTCCCACGACACCAAATGACTCTTGAAAAACGTGAATACAGTACATTATTATGTGTATGTATTGTGCATATATACACACACACACACACACATACATACATACATATGGAACGAAAATGAGAAAGAGAATCAGTTTGTAATCAAAGCCTGTGATGTACCTTTATAGAAGATGTTATTGCCTCTGAATGTGAAGAAGTGACCGGAAGTGCGCCAGCTGTTGAGCGCAGGTGAGAGCTGTGGCGGAGGGATGTGAAGATACACCGCGAGCAGAGGAACACACAACAGAGCCACGTAAAGCCACCACTCCCTGCTCGCGCGACGGGCCGATCCGCACTCACTGTCATTCTTCTGCAGACAGGGTAGGTCTTTGTTGTGTGTTGTGTATTGCAGTTGTTATTGTATTAACATAGTATGTTATGGTATTTTATTGCTACAGATACGAGCGTTTGTCAAATGAAGTAACGTTACGGCATCATAACACGAAATTAAACTGTCAGGGCAGCCTTGCTATGACAAAAAAATGATAGTTAAATTTAAACTGTAGGCAAAATTACAACTGCCATATAATGCGTGCTAGTCATCTGACAAGAGAAACGCGCTTAACGCGTAAAGTTACTTACAGGTGAGTCGTGTGTCATTCTCGATTCCTGCGCTTTATCACAGTGTGTGTCGGTTGTTTTTTCTGTTGAGCTGAAATATGTGCTGTTGAGCGACATTAAGAGTCTGTCACTGAGCTGTCATCTGCAGAATCAATACTTGCGTTCCCTTAAAACGTTCTGTTGCGACTGTTATCAAGCGTCGTGTTGCCAAGGATCCAAAGGTCTCGGGCTCAAAGTAAAGCTCGCTTACGCCTCTAGTGGAGCGGATGGTGAACGGCAATAATATCTAGCAGAGGAGCCGTGTTTGTTTCAATAGTCACTGCATCCAAAACGTCTAGTTTGCTTAAACATTCGTATATTCGAGCGAAAGTCCATATTTAACTATTTAAATGTAGGGCAAGTGAAAAACAGGTGATCACCGGTTCCCTTTTTAGTCAATAATTCATCACAGTAATAATACATGAGACGCCGAACTCGATGTGGACAGTTGCATGTGTGAGAGGACTTTTAACGATTTTAACGTTATAACTTTTTATATGAAATTATTATTTTTTTTATATAAAATTATTATTATTAATAATAATAATATTTTAGCCGGTTCTCGACCTGCAGATCAACATGGAATCTAACAGGTATTTGAGATCATAGTGTGTTGAACTGATAGACACATGGCATAAACACAAATAATACGGGACAAAAGCTCTTTCAAAACTCTTTGGGTGGTTTGTTTATGAGTGAGTTAGATGTCTATGTATTTAAAATGATTTTAAAAACATTATTCACAGTTGTTTTCGTCTTGTTGAGTTGGTGTTTGCAGATCCAGTCACCACTTAAAGTAAAATTTGGTTGGATGTTTGTAATTCAAGATTAAGATTATTAAAGGGACAGTTCACCCAAAAATGAAAATCCTGTTAGCATTTACTCCCCTTTAAATTGTTTCAACCAAGTTGATGGCCCCCATTGACTTCCATTGTATTTTTTTTTTTTCCATATATGGAAATCAATGGGGACCATCAACTGTTTGGTTACACATATTCTTCAAAATATATTTTTTTGTGTTCAACAGAAAAAAGAAACTCATACAGATAACCTGAGGGTGAGTAAATGATGACAGAATTTAGATTTTTGGGTGAACTGTCCCTTTAAAGCCTGAACCAAAATGAATTCTGACATATTCTGCTGACATATCTTAATCTAGAACCGATTAAATGGTGCGTAATGGTAGCTTTTTGCTGGTCAACAAAACAGGCACAGGCACATTTGGCAGCTCCCCCTTGTGGACATTATATCTACAGTATATATATATATACACTGTATATCTCATGATATATGTGATATGATAGGTGAATAATTTTGATGAAAACCCCACTTTAATTCAAAATTATCAAGAAATCAAGTGATACATTGTAATGTTATATTACACTTTTTTGGATCATGTTTAACATTGCCATATATCACTCATCACTCATGTTTTTCTCATTTTCCAAGTATATATTTAATAGTAAACCCATACATTGTGCTGCTTGAGATTTAAATTTATGAGCTTCAGTCATGTTCAGTTCACTTTGTTATCTAAAGGACATGGGAACATCGTTAGTAGGCTATTCATGAATGCCCCACCCAGTGCAACCAAATATTTCCGAAACTGACACCATATAAATGTTTATTCATATACTAGTTTAGGCTAAACACATGACTATTTTGATACAGGCTTTGATCATCATTAGTACTAATCTGTTCTGTGTTCCTAATAGACTTTAGTCAGGCAGACACCATATTGAATTTCATATTAAAGTCTTTCAAAACTGTTTTATGGAGTTTTTGTGTACTAACAGTGTTTTTGGGAAGATGTTGCATCAGCTGAACAAAGGCTTCTTGTTAAACTGCAGTACAATCCATTGAATCCACTATACTTGTGTATACTTGTGTACTGTTTCATTCCTGTCAAAAATTAAATATGACCAGTGAAAACACGGTCACAACAATATGAAAACACTGTTTAATTGTGAACAACAGCAATAAAGATCACTTTAAATTAAAAGGAAGCATTACAACAAACAGTCTTATGAAAAACCTTTCTTTCATGTTTTATTTATTTGCATGTCGCCCATTTGTGACTTTCAGTTCAACACATCACACATTTAGTCTTTCTTACCCCTTCAGTTGAGAGATGAAAATTCCTCAATTAACTGCTAGATTCAATGTTTTCCTGCTTGTTGAGATTCTGACAAAATCATAGATTTGTTTTAAAATATATCAGAGATACAATCTCATTAGGGATGACAAAAGATGAGACACCCGAATCTTTCATTTGGTCTAAAGTTTAAGGTTATTCATGATATTTTTTTAGTTTATTATGATAAACATAATGATTATGATGATAACAAAAATCATAATATTATTATGATAACATAAAAATCATTTAAATATTTTATAACAAAAAATAACACTTTTTTTTATACTCAAGTATGAAACCAAAGTGTATAGGAAATTTGTGTCGTCTCACGAACGACTGACACTTAAAGTGTAGCATTTTCTGTATAATTGCCTGTTCTTGGAATATGGATCTAAGGAAGCAATTCCTATAAATCTTATAAAGTAGAATAATAAGCAGTGTTTTTCTCTGCTGATGTTGTCGTGACACTGTTAGAAATAATCTACTGGATTCATGTTTGTTAATAGACTAAACAGGACAAAATATAGGGCAACAAAATTCTAAAGGTAGATTCATAGCTATATCAAAATGCACTGATTGTATAGGACTTAAATTTGATTAACGAAATAAATGCACATGCATAAATTCACACTCTGCATGTGTTTTGTTTATATGTGTGAGTTAATGCTACAAAAGAAATGCTCTTTGTGTGAGATGCTGATGGTCCAGTGGCCAGAGCTCTTGGTGTCAAAGCTAAACCTGATGCAGGAGACCAGAGTTCAGAGTTCATCCCTCCTCAGCTGTGGTTTGAAAGGAGTGAGAAACAAGTAAAAAAAAAAATTTCCGAGTGGGGGAGTACATTGGTATAAACACATTAAACAAAATAAACAGTCTTTAAATGGTCGTTTTGGAATGTAGTCGATGACTCGACGTGAAACTCCTTTGGTTAAAATCCGACTCGTATTGCAGAAATTGATAAGCAGTTTTTCATCCGCTCCACTAGGCGGCGAAAGCGAGTTCCAGGTTCAGTCTGATGTCTTCGGATGCTTGCAACAACACGTGTAGTACATATATTGTTACATTGTAGGAAGTATAGGGAAGAGAGGATTAGATTAAACCAAAAGATAAGTCAGACAGGAAGGAAATGGAACCTTGAGGGTGTTTTGGGAACAACAGGAGAAGGGGTTAAAGATGCACAGGATGCTGTTGTGGAATATCTGAAGGATACAGGGGTATATTATAGGATTTAGATAGTAGTGCTATAATATTTATTTATAATTTTTTTTTTTTTTTTTAATAATGTAAATGCATTCATTGAGATATAAACCATGCTGCATATTCCGATACAGTAGGTGGCGGTATGCACCTGATAAGTCATGGTTGCAATCCGCCATAAAACTAACAAGAAGAAGATGAAGAACACGTGTATATATCCTGCAGATGCCAGCTCAGTGACAGAATCAACAGCACATATTCCAGCCCATAAACAAATAAAACCGACACAAACTGCGATGAAGTGAAGGAATCGAGTGTCACTCGACTCACCTGTAAGTAAGTCTACTACTAATACAGTGCGTTGTGTTGCATCATCTGTGCGCGGACACTTCAAAATGAACGCACATGGACTAGTCTATAACTTTATTTTTTTGACGGGGTCTTCTGCAAAGGTTTATCAGAGTTTGTGTATATGCTGCTGCCTTGCTGAACTCCTTGTCGGACCTTCAGAAGAATCGTTGTTGCGCTGTTCAGATATTCTCATCAATATCATCATCATCATCATCATCATCATCATATTATTATTATTATTATTATTATTGTTAATGGAACAAATACGTTTTACAACATATTACACCACACATACAGAAAGGGATAATTCAAAAGAGAGACAATAATATACCAAGTAGTCTACAGAAGAAAATAAACAAATAGAGAAATAAAATAGAGAAATAAATGCTAGAAAAGGGGGGAAAAAATCAACAGTAATGATCCCCCACACCTGTAAAAATTAATTTGAATGAATTATTGGGCTTTGTGTTGTACTGTGAGGTAAATTTGCAGACGGTCCCTAAAGCAGCCTAGGTGAAAATGCAGCGAATATCAAACCTAAAACGAACTTTACCACGCTCATGGAGCGAAAGCCATAAAACCTGAATACTGATGGGATCTTTAACCTAAAGTGTTGTTGCTTGACAGCTAAACATGCATGGAAGCCGTCACATCTTCTATGATAGTCTATCACAGACTTTGTTTACATGCTGCTCTCTTGTTGAACTCACTGTCAGACATTTAGAAGAAGGAAAGAACCAGTACATACTGCATTTTCTATTAGCTTTACTGCAAGAATCGTTCTATTCTATTGCTGTAGGTAAATATTGGATTCATGTTTATGTTGTCAGTTGATGTTGTGTGAATCTCTAATGTTCTTCTGCTGGGGCTCGTTCTTCGTAAACAAGTAGTCAGCTGTATTTATTGTTGGCGATTTGACATGGTCCAGGATTGTTAGGTTCTTCGAAGCTCATCTCGGAGTTGTTGTCATAGCAACATGTCCTTAAGCTCAAACCTGCTTGGGAGCAGGTTTATTTCACGTAAACAGGATTAGATATTATTTTGAGTGAAGTTGATACTGTAAGTCTGTCCCAGCCACTGATATGTACTTACAATTGTACCTTATTAAACCAGGAAAAATAATGTTAAAAGCTAATCATTTTATAAATATTTAAACTGTCTTGTAATCTATAATAATAGACACTAACAATTTTACTTATTGAGAGGGTTATTTGTGAAGGAATAATCATCTCATAATTTTACTGGAGTCATACACGCATTAAGTACAGTTTGTCTGAGCCGTTGCATTAATTTCTCATGTCATGAGATGCAGAACACTTCTCAAATCTCAGAATGCTTTTATGATGCGCAATTAATCTAAACACAATCAGTTATGTCTTAAGATGGATCTTATGGATTAAGAAACTAAATGAATGGCTAATTACAATACTTTTGACATTGAAAAATGCAAATCCTGTTACAAATTCTAGAAATAGTGTAGAATAATTTTAAAAATGGTTACACATTTTATTTATCTATTAGATCTTTTCTGTAATTTTGCTTGCTCTGCTGTTTCCTTGGTGAAAATGCAGCGAATATCAAACCTAAAACGAACTTTACCACGCTCATGGAGCGAAAGCCATAAAACCTGAATACTGATGGGATCTTTAACCTAAAGTGTTGTTGCTTGACAGCTAAACATGCATGGAAGCCGTCACATCTTCTATGATAGTTTATCACAGACTTTGTTTACATGCTGCTCTCTTGTTGAACTCACTGTCAGACATTTAGAAGAAGGAAAGAACCAGTACATACTGCATTTTCTATTAGCTTTACTGCAAGAATCGTTCTATTCTATTGCTGTAGGTAAATATTGGATTCATGTTTATGTTGTCAGTTGATGTTGTGTGAATCTCTAATGTTCTTCTGCTGGGGCTCGTTCTTCGTAAACAAGTAGTCAGCTGTATTTATTGTTGGCGATTTGACATGGTCCAGGATTGTTAGGTTCTTCGAAGCTCATCTCGGAGTTGTTGTCATAGCAACATGTCCTTAAGCTCAAACCTGCTTGGGAGCAGGTTTATTTCACGTAAACAGGATTAGATATTATTTTGAGTGAAGTTGATACTGTAAGTCTGTCCCAGCCACTGATATGTACTTACAATTGTACCTTATTAAACCAGGAAAAATAATGTTAAAAGCTAATCATTTTATAAATATTTAAACTGTCTTGTAATCTATAATAATAGACACTAACAATTTTACTTATTGAGAGGGTTATTTGTGAAGGAATAATCATCTCATAATTTTACTGGAGTCATACACGCATTAAGTACAGTTTGTCTGAGCCGTTGCATTAATTTCTCATGTCATGAGATGCAGAACACTTCTCAAATCTCAGAATGCTTTTATGATGCGCAATTAATCTAAACACAATCAGTTATGTCTTAAGATGGATCTTATGGATTAAGAAACTAAATGAATGGCTAATTACAATACTTTTGACATTGAAAAATGCAAATCCTGTTACAAATTCTAGAAATAGTGTAGAATAATTTTTAAAATGGTTACACATTTTATTTATCTATTAGATCTTTTCTGTAATTTTGCTTGCTCTGCTGTTTCCTTGATTTTAATTATATGGTGTCATTACGTTGCTGTCTTGCCACCAGCCAATCATTGCTGCATTGCTGATCATGGTTTCCAGTATCAATATATCTGCCCTTTCCAATGCACATGTCAACACGCATTAATCTCAGACAACTTAATCCAGATATTTGAATCAAATCTGCACATTTTTTATCAAATTCGCAAATTTTAATCTGCAAACTTGTTTGAAGAACCAAATTAGCCAGAGATCAGTTATCAGCATTAAAAGATCTGGCATCTGTCAAATCATCTCCGATGCAGTACGAAGAATGGACCCTTGCTTTTTTTAAAGTTGGATCATTATGTAATGTATTAGGGCAAAAAAAGTCTAAATGGAGATTTTTTTTTATAGGAAAAAAGGGATTTAAAAATAGCTGACTAACGATCTATGGACATTGATTGACATTCCTGAGGTAAATGTGAAGTTGTTTTATTGACCGCTTGGCGCTTGCTGAGGTTGAAAGATTGATTGAGTGATTAAATGAGGCATGATACATTTCTGTAAGTTGTGCTGGTTCTTTCAACATTCCATTTGTCAGGTGTCTAGGATGGGATGTTATTGAGAGCTTTGTTTTATTGGATTCGACTTCTCCAAGATTCATGTTTATTTTGTGCTATAACCAGTAGTAAAGAGGAAGAGATGATGGGTTCACGTGCAGCTTGAACTGAGGTAGATGCAGTGTTTTGTCACGCCACATTAAAGAGTGTCAAAACATTTAGAATTACTGGAGTATAATATAATCTGTTGTATTTGTTTCATATTGTAGATTTAGGAACATTGTAGTGTGTATGATTCCACTCCCTAAATTTATCCAGCTCTACTGGTGTATATCATTGTATCACAGTAATGTGAGTAATGTCAATACATATTTATTAATTTTATTTAGACATTACCTTTTAAGTTCTGATTTTGGTCATTAATATTTTTATATTATTTTTGGATACCTTTTAAATCCTAATAATCACTAATCGTTTTATTTTTAATGTATTTTTATATAATTTGTAATGCTAATTTTAAGCATGGATGCTTTTTTATTTTTTTATTTGTCTGTTTGTTTTCCTTTATGAACTATAATTTAGAGTGCTTTAGAAAGGTAATGATTACAATTTTTAATTTTATTTAGACATTAATATATTCTAAATGTAGTGATTATTTTTAATTTTAAATATATTTATAAATTAAATAAAATTAATTCTGATTTTAATACATTTTTAAGTTTATTTGTAGATGCTAACATTTAAATCTAGATTGATTTTTCCCCCCCCCTAAAATGTATGGCTGTAGGTTTTACTGAAGTAATACAAACTATGAGGTGTGTGTGTGGTTGGTGATCACCTAGGCTAGTAGTCAGAGCTCATGGTGTGATCCATCTCTGGAGACCTGAGTTCAAGTCCCCTCTTTGCTACAGATCTAAACAATAGTAAGTAAAAAAAAGAAGTAAACATTTTTTTTCACCCATCTTCTGGCTACTTATCTACTGAGTCACTGAGTTTCTGTTTTTGTTAGGTATTTTGGACGGGGTTTTATTAAGACCTTTGTTTAAACTAATAAAGAATAATAGTATTAATGGAATTTGAACCCAGACTTCTGTGAAAGAGAGGCATGCACTCATCCACTGAGCTACAGAGTTTGTGCTGTTTGATGTTTAGTTTAGCAACAGCAACATTAACAATTTAAAATAATCAATAGAGGGATTTGAACCCAGGTCTCTGTGATTAAACTGCAATGCTTAATCATTTGAGCTGCACACAGTCTGTGGAGTTGAAGTGAGATTTGGACAAAGATTTATTGAGGGCTTGACCACTTGCTGAGGTTGAAAGATTGATTGAGTATATGGATATTATGTTATGAAACTCTGTAAATAATGGTATTTGATACAAGGCACTCATGTTTGAAGGCAAACAGTTATCTTCAGTGCCACAGTTGTTTTGAGCAGGGTTTTATTGAGAGTTTTTTGTTTTAAAAACTTTTCTGATTGTGGGATTTGAACTCAGGACTCCATGATTAAAATGCAAAGATTTATCCTCTTAAATCTTTCATTAAAAATGTAAGCCAATACATTTAGGTACAGCTTTAATTACAGCAACAATTAAACGTGTTATAGTGGGATTTGATCTCAGGTCTCCATTTTTAAAGCACAATCCTTTATCTCTTGAGCCATGGAGTCAGTGGAGTTGTCAGGTGTTTTGGACAACATTGCTCAGGGATGTTCAAGGATGTATAAAATATATACAATCAGATATATAATTATATATCACGTAGTATTATGATGAAAATGCAATCCCAAGTTTCCTACCCGTAAGTCTAAATGCATTTAGGAAAAAATGCATTTAAATGGTAAATGGCTTCATTTTTGACATGCTGCTAAAGAAGCGATAAAGAAACCTGAAAAAATAAAGCGTAGACATGCTTGATGATATTCAAGTAAAAAAGTGAACATAAGAAATTAGAATAATTTTATTGAGAACTTTTTCATGTGATGAAAACATTCAGCAATTGTGGGATTCGATCTCAGGGCTCCAAGATTAAAATGCAAAGATTTATCTTATGCGCTACTGATTCTGTGGATTTGTCAGGTGTCTAGGATGGGATTCTATTGAGTGCTTTGTTTTATTGGATTCAACTTTTCAGTAGTTGTGGGATTAGAACTCAGGTCTCCACATTTAAAACACAATGCTTTACCTCCTGAGCCAGAGAGCCTGTGGAGTTGTGCGCAAACTGAGCAATGTTGAGGCAGGTGAAAAGCGTTTGGTTAATGGTGAATATTGACCTATCGTGCATCCTGTTGCTGAGCCCCCCCTTGATGTAATGATTGACAGGTTGGGGGCGTGATCGGCTCGGAATTTAAACGTCTTAAAGGGGTCATATGATGCTATTTTAAAGATCATTATTTTGTGTATTTGGTGTAACAGAATATGTTGACATGCTTTAATGTTCAAAAAACATTATTTTTCAAATACTGTACATTATTGTAGGTCGAGAAAGGAAAACTTGAAATCGCATCATATGACCCCTTTAAGTGTAAGTGTCATGCATTTAAGAAAAATAAGACATTTAAATCACCATTTTGCTACCCTTTTGCTATACCGTTGGTTCAGAATGCATTTTGAAATTCACACTGCATTTTGTTACAATTATCACGCAGTATTATGATGAAAATGCAATCCCAAGTTTCCTACCCGTAAGTCTAAATGCATTTAGGAAAAACAGCATTTAAATGGCAATTTTGCTGATACGTTTGACATGTTAAACATATCTAATAAATTTGTGGAATACATTTTTATTTTAATTTTGCAACTTATAAAGCGATAAAATATGTATTTAATTTACATATTAAAACTAGTGTAGGAAATGGCAAATGTAAATGATGGAATTTTTATTTTCATGTTGCACATTATGTATGGGAATATGTAAAGTTAAATACAGAAATACATATTACATTTCAAAATGAATATTGCTACCCATATGCTTCCATTATTATGGAACGACATTTAATGGTATGAACATTTTTATTTTTTGGTGAACTATCCCTTTAATTCGTCCATGGTTTCATCTTCCAACTGGAGAAAAAAACAACAACAACAACAATGAAAGAAGCTGTTTTGGTATGTACTAAAATATATACAATCAGATATTGCTCACAGAAGAAAATGCTGTGCTGCTCTACAACTTTGCTTGCTAGCTAAATTTACCTACTTGTTTCTGTGGACAAAATTACATTTTTAAAGGGGCTTTATGAAAGAATTGTATTGCCAATGTGTAAACAGCATGTAACGAAACGTAAAAAAACGAGAGCCTGTAGACTCATTTTTATGTGAAGGATTCAGGGCAGTTTCGCTGGGAAAATTCATGGGAAACTATCATAACAGTGTAATTATAATGAACCTCATCTGTCGACATGGTGGTATGACAATAGTTTCACAGGACTGCTTCATTTTTGACATGCTGCTAAAGAAGCGATAAAGAAACCTGAAAAAAATAAAGCGTAGACATGCTTGATGATGATATTCAAGTAAAAAAGTGAACATAAGAAATTAGAAGAAATATGGATCAATATATTGTTTAGTGTTAGGGTTAAAGAATGTTGTTAAGAAGTTGTTCAAGGATGGGTAAGCACTTCTCTTCTCTTATGTGTGTGTCTAACTCCAGTATTACTAAATGGAATGGCGCTGTCTCTTGCACTTCACATGATTGCTTGTAAATATTTTTGTATCTTCAAATTACAAATTACTCATTTTAATTAAATACATTTCTCACAACAGTATTTTAATTAAATACATTTGATGAGTAAGTATTTGTAATTTGTAACAAAATAGGCTACTTTTTGATGTATTTGTGCCCATCTCTGTCACTGACCAGGTTTGAGTGCTTTGGGAACGAAGAGGCGTCTAACTGACCAGAATGTGTCCGAATCAGCTGTGCCAATACGCTTAGACCAGAGTAGGCTTGGGTGACGCTTGGACATGCAGGTACAAAATGCCATTTCTCCCAACTTACTGGACTGTGTCCAGAAGCAACACGCTGGAAACACGTCATACGTTACGCGTCCATCCACACGTCGTCCCGTTAGCTGACATCCTTGCAGGTGATCTGCCTCAAGAACAACTCCTCCTAGGGGCACCATTCTCACACTTTTTATTTGCTGCTCTCATTATTAACACACTCCACTTTTATGAGTTAATGAAAGTAAGAGTACCGGCTACAGAGAACATTGACACTGTTCTGGTTTAAACCAAGTGCCTGTCAGTAATATAAAAAAAATGAATACAAATAACCAAATTGTCAACAAACATGATTGAAAAATGTGTAAATAAATAAACATCTACTTAAATCGGCGACATACTGGAAGCATCTTGTAAGATCTTTTGTTCTGTGCCTGATGTTCACACTGAATTTGTCATTGAGTTCAACATATTTTATCTTTATCAGTTAAGAGCAGATCTGGATAATTTACGGAAATTATACTAGAACCATGTTGCTTTGTTGGCCGAGACCCTGACAAAAATATAGATTTGTTGTAAAATATATGAAATTTAAATCTCAGCCATCTCACCTACAACTGGTCAACATGAGTTTGCCATTTCATGAAACTCTTGAAACACATTGGCCACAAGAGGGAGCTGATGATCAGCTGTTTGTCATTTGACTTATAGACATTTAAAGGGGTCATATGATGCGATTTCAAGTTTTCCTTTCTCTTTGGAGTGTTACAAGCTGATTGTGCATAGATAAGATCCCTGAAGTTGCAAAGACTAAAGTCTCAAACCCAAAGAGATATTCTTTATCAAAGTTAAGAGTCAGCCACGCCCCCCTAAAACGGCTTGTTCTAACACGCCCCCACATATCTACCTCACCATGTGGAAATATTTGCATAATGCGCCCAAATGATCACGCAAAGAAAGAAGGCGTGGTTTCAGGAACAGCAGTAGTGTTGATGCAGCATGTCAGGGAGACGCTGTGTGGGGCGTTACATTTCCGACGCGTGCTTGTTGTGTTCGGCCAATCACAATGCACTGGTTCAGCTGGCCAATCAGAGCAGACTGCTTTTGTCAAAGGAGGGACTTTGTAGGCGGGGCATAGAGGACCTACAATAATGTACAGTATTTGAAAAATAATGTGTTTTTTGAACATTAAAGCATGTCAGCATATTCTGTTACACCAAATACACAAAATAATGATCTTTAAAAAAGCATCATATGACCCCTTTAATTGAAAAAAAAAAAATATATATATATACATTTAATGGTATGAAAATGTTAAAGTATGTGTGACACTTGACACTGAAATTTTAATTAAAACTGAAGTGCATTTTTCCATCCGCTCCACTAGGCGGGGTAATCGAGCATCAGGTTCAGTCTGACACCTTCAGATCCTTGACAACATGATGCTTCATCATGACAGAGGTCATGACAGGTGCAGACTTTTTGAAGTACAAATCCTGCAGTCACTCAACAGCACATATTCCAGCCCATAAAACAAATAAAACCGACACACACTGTGATAAAGTGCAGGAATCGATTGTCACTGAAAAAATAAAGCGTAGACATGCTTGATGATGATATTCAAGTAAAAAGTGTGACTCATCTGTAAGTCTCTGAAAATGTGTTAAATTTAATTATGAACTGCTATTTAGAAATGTTGTCTTTGCCCTACAGAATTAGAGATGTGTGTGGACTGTTAACACCCAGCCAACCGAAGCATGTGGACAGACATTGACTGTAATGATGGACATCTGCTCATGCACAGGTAAAAAATTTTCAGTGTGTGTTGTTGGCTTGTAAATGTGTAGGTTACCATCCGGTTTTTTTTTTGGGAAGGGTCATTATATTTCAAATGTTAATAATCTACACGAGATTTATATTATCTATAATAAATTGCATATAATGTAAATAAATAAACACATATATATTAATTGCCAACTTCTATTTTGACAATGTCGGAATGTGTTATTTACATGACATTTGTCATATGTGACCCTGGACCACAAAACCAGTCTTAAGTCGCTGGGGTATATTTGTAGCAATAGCCAAAAATACATTGTATGGGTCAAAATTATTGATTTTTCTTTTATGCCAAAAATCATTAGGATATTAAGTAAAGATCATGTTCCATGAAGATATTTTGTCAATTTCCTACTGTAAATATATTAAAACTTAATTTTTGATTAGTAATATGCATTGCTAAGAACTTCATTTGAACAACTTTAAAGGCGATTTTCTCAATATTTTGATTTTTTTTGCACACTCAGATTCCAGATTTTCAAATAGTTGTATCTCTATATTTCGAAAAATTGACCCTTATTACTGGTTTTGTGGTCCAGGGTCACATATATTTAACCTGGAGACATATTTACTCCTTTGGCTTGCCATATGATGGACACATTTGAAGGCTGATTGATTATGTGGCAGCTGTTTTCAAAACCATACTTTTGAAAAAGCACCCATTTAGTCAGAAACTTGACAACTGGATCATGCTCGAGTTGTTCTGTACAGTCGGTTCTTTTTGAATTGTCTTCATCACACAAATTGTATTGCTTCTTGAGAATTGTAATAGCTGTATGGATTGCTTTTTGTATGCTTGTTTTGGTCTTTTTTTTTTTTTCTCCATTTTTGGACCAACAAACTGTCTTGCATTTACATTTGCAAAATCTGACATTTATAATCTAGTGTGCTCAACATGAAAGAAAACATGGCCCTCAGGTTACGCTAAATATAAATTTTTATTCTTAAAAACCATACACGATACTCGACAAGTTTAAAATTTAAGTTAAATCACGATATCCCATTTACATTGCGCAAGATAAACAGACATGTTCTTTTGTTTCCAAACTTAAAAAAATCCTTAAAACAGATGGATAAATATTCATTCCCATTATAGGAAGACGCTATAGAAAATAGTTATGGATATTTTAAATATATCTGCTCTAAATTGCAAACTTAAGCAGTTTTTAAAATTTATTTAATAAACATGAAAAACGAAATAACTTATTCAAAAGAACAGAACAAAAAAAATGTGCAGTTGCGATGACTCCTGTTTTTCTTCCTTTATTACACCCTTAATGAACCAACGAGTGGAGAGAAGCAACAGTCTGAACTGGAACCCTGCTGCCAAAAAATAAATCTACTCCTAAACATTACAAAAAACACAAAACATGTTAGTATTTTGACCACAAGTTTCATGCTATAAGCCACCCTGAGTGTTATATTACTTGGAGAACCAATCACGACCCACCCACCCGTGAATATAATTTATGTAAAATCCCTGTAGGTCTGGTTCAGCAGGTTGAGATGTTGTCATTTTCGCATAAAAATACAATTTATTTGTTATCAAAACGTTCCTTGGGAATCTGAAATGAAGTACCCTGTGCTGTGATACCAGAGTTATATGCATGTTTTTTTTGAAAATTCTTCGTTGTTTCCTTTGTGTTTCCAGTATTTCAGGTCTTAAATATATTCTACAAACAATTGCAGCAATATTTTCGTAACTGACAGCAATCTTTATGGAACATGAAAGAAAATATAAAGTAAAAACTTTATCATTTTTTCATATGATCAATAAACAATTTTTTTTTTTTTTCAAAGAATCAAAAAAAAAAAAGGGAAAACAAGTTACTCATTTTCCTTTTTATTTTTCCTTTTAACCAAGACAAAAATGTACTACCTAAAAGACAATCTTAAATTAAAATGCTTTACTTTTTAAATCATTGCATTCAATTCAGTTTTCTAGGTTTCAGCCTGAGTAAACAAACTTATGATACATTGGCAGGAACTTAATGTCTTGATGTCAATGAACTGACTGTGGACCATTTCAGATTCAGACGCATTCATTTTTTTTTTTTTTTAAAGGCGGACCTGGTGTGGCCTTCACTTCAAAATCACACCATTAAAGGCGTGAAGACTCCAGCTCCAGCCATTTCAGATACTCCTTAACTTCCAAACGAGAATGAGACATGAAATTGGAACTAAAAAAAAACCCCCAAGGGGTGAAGTAGTAAGTATAAGAGATTTATGGACAGAGATCCTTATCTACCGTTTCCTCCAGTCACCCGTCCAATGAAAAAAAGAAAGAAAAAAAACCTCCCATGGTTACCTCTGTCAATTCTATACAAGCCTTAGTGTTATCTATTTGGCTTGAGGGTTCGATGTATCTACAAATATATAACAAATAAAACTTGCAGGCAAAAATAGTTCAGTTTCCATAGAAACACCTTTTTTTCCTGAAAATACAGCAGTATCTGAAATATTTCTCAATTCATTTGTCCCCATTTCTCTGCATCAGGAAGCTCTTCCACCAACGAACAGAAGAAAAAAAAAAGTATCTACAAACTTTGTAAACAGACCTGTGTCTTCCAAAAAAAAAAAAAAAACATTAACAAAATATTAACAGCCAAATGATGCAGAAATCAGTGTTTGAATAAGCAAAGGGCAAAAAGAACAAATGTACAACACATCCAGATAAAGAGAAGCAAAAGCTAAGAGCTAAGCTCCTGAGAGCTCCTTGGCTCCGCCCCTCTCATCCAATCAGTTCTCCAGGCTTTAGTCTCTGTGGAGACGAGCAGGTGTTGTGTGTCGTACCGAGGGGCGGAGCTGATCAAAGGGACGTCTCTAGGCTGTGCATGGGGCTCCCGGGAGCTGAGGGTGTAGCTGGCTTGCTGGGATCCAAGAAGAGGTGGATGCCGCTGTCTACGGCGTTATTGTTCTGATTGGGCGAGGGTGGGGGAGGAGGCGTGGGTGTGGCATTTCTCTTAGTGGGGGCATCATCTTCCGCATCTGTGTCATCGATGAGGGGGATGTGGGGCTCCGAGTCCTCTATTCGGAACTCCGGATGGGTCATGAAGTTGTGGATGGAGGTGCGAGACTCTGGCTTCTCCAGGCCCTCATAGGGCGACAGCGAGCTGCGGAATGCATTCACCACTCGGATCTGCAGGAGAATGGGATGTAATGTCAGCCTTGTCACTCAGAGAGAGCTAACGCTCGTTTGCACACATGTACACAACAGGCATACAAAGTGAAACATCACTTTTTTTTTTTTTTTTTTTTAAGTACAGGTTAAACCAAAGGCCAAATGGGCTGGTTTTAATTGATGAGTGGAGAGCAGTGAGGTTAGCGCACCAAAACCGTCTGAGAGAGGAGTGTGTGAGCGGTCAGTGTCGTGCAACTGAGAAAAAACCTGATGCTTGTTACGGTGAGCTTATCCTCTGACCGAGTGACAGTATATCCTCTTTTCTTAGGAATGAGGAATAACAGATGCATCAAACTGGAAAGAACTTGGGTGTCTTGTCAGTTGTAAATCACAGAAAGCCAATTTTTCAAAATGCAAATAAGAAAGAGAGGGAGAGAGAACAGAAGAGACAGGAAAAGAGAGAGGCCAAGGTAACCCCAGAGGACACAGCTCAACACATGAGGTTAATATTTTCAGGCATGCTTGTATTGGAGGGGAGGGATCGATCACTGATTATGTTGTGAAGTAGAGACGCAAAATTTTAAAGCAGCCAAGCAATTTAAGCTAACCAGCACAAGTAAATTCACAAACGGTCTAGAGACTGGACCCATGCAGAGCAGCGCTACCTTTCAACAGAGGTAAACCTTTGAGTATAGCCCATGACACATTTCACAGAATCTAAGGAGGAATATGCGGCAGTCAGTACCCTGTTTGCCAAAGTCCAATATGCTTTTCATTAGCAGGAAAATCAAGACCACAACAAGAGACAGTTTCAAACAGAATACAAAGTGCCCTGAACAGAGAAAAAGGGTTTGTGGACAGCCAGGACCTGATGAAATATGGAAATATTGATGTGGTTAGAATCGAGCTGAAAGACAAACAGAAATGACATGATTCCACCAGCTTTTCATTTAGTCGCAGATCTTCCCTGTAAAATAACGAAGTTACATCAAAGACAGACCGAGAAAAAGAGGATGATTAAACTGGTATGGAGTAGAATATGAGACAGCGTGATAAAGAGAAAACCGTGTTGAGTACGGACAGTAACGCCAATGTCACCGAATGAGTGAACGAGCAAAAACCGATGCCACAGGAAAGGTGATGAACTACAGAAAGAGGAGAGGAAGTTCATTTTTGTCTAAACTACAGCACAACATCTCGTTAATCATATCGTTCGATCCTACAGAAACATGAGATACTTACCAAAACGCTGCCTTTAAAAATGTCCCACAAACCCATTCACAAGACCAATTTGGTGCGATTGGTCGGGTTATCAGTGACCATGGGCGTATACTCAAAACATTTACACGCAGTAGACAGAGCACGCGCAGGGCTGCAGACACACCGGACGGGATTAGACAACTCTTCATCGGTGAGAACCCAGCCAAAGCCATCAAACACAGACACAGAAACCTCAACCTTAACACTTAAGATACACAGCCGTTAACATTGAGAAGCAATGTGGAAGATGTTTTGAGATACATTTCGTTTCGAACAAGAGAGCGAGAGAAAAAGAGAGAAGGAAGGACATTAGGAGAAGAATGAAGACCGTTAGGCGAGAGGAGGAAATGTTAATTGTCATGCACTAATAAACACGCACTCACACCCAACAGTGGCAGAAGCGGTGTTGAAGGCAGTAGCAGGAGATAAGGCTACATGTGTAGGGCTAGAAACATTGGTTACATCGTGTTGTTGGCTGGTGCTGGAGGGCTGGCGCCTGATGGCCGCCTGAAAGGAAATTCCGCTCTGGAACGCACTCACAACATCCATCTGGAAGGAATCAGAGAGTGTGATAGGCCCAGAGAACGCACAGGAGAGAGAAAGACAGAGTAAGAGGAAAAAGTGAAAAGAAGAGGGATAGAGAAAGAAGGGCACCCATAAAAAGAAGACAGGGACAGAGAGCAGCTGAGAGAGAGAGAGGGGAAAAAAGGCACTGAATTAAAAGAACCTGACCTGACATTTGCCTTTAGCATTGATCGGCTTATTGCACTGACAAACTGCATTAATAAACCCTCTTCCACCAGTATAAGGTCACCATAAGTGGCGGATCGATTGGAGGGAGTGCTAACTCAAACCATAATCAGAGAAAATTAAGCAAGGCGGGCGTTTGGGTTCCTGAGCTTGGACTGCAGAGTTGTGTGGTTTTCGAGAGGTTACCTGAGTCTGAATGCGGTTCAGACCTCTGAACCAGAGGATCTGCCCCCTGCGGAGCTCTCGCTCAGCATGGTCAATTTCATCCAGGTCATCCAGCTCCTCCAACTCCTCATCTGGGATTTCTTCCTTCTGCGTTCCATGACCAGCAGTCTTCAGGAACTTCAGCCGGCTCGTAGGGATGGAGGAGATGATCTGAATGAGGGCGTGTGTATATATATATATATATATATATATCAAGTGGCCATTCCATACAGAAAACAAAAACTTTATGCTCTCAGCCCAGTAATTTAGTTCACTGCCTTTAGGGGGCACTGCTCTATCACAATTGAGGGGCTTGGATTGGTGTTTTGAGAGCAAGTTACAGGTTACAAGAAGCTGCTTTGTATAATATAGGGAGGAAAAGTCAGCTGATGCTCACCTGTCCCCACAGAAGACATCCAAAGCCTAAGAAGACGCACCATAGCCACTGCTCAATATTCAGCCCCACACAGCTGAATGGCTTTCCTCCAAATTGCACTATCACAATCTAAGTGGGGAAAAAAATATAAAAAATTTTTTGTTCATGACATGCTTAGGTCACACTAGCATCTATATCTGCTATGATTATGGGCATTCATACAGCAATTTGTAGGACTGCACACCTGAATAAGAAAAGTCCCAAAGACAATGGTACAAAAGATCAGATTGTTGAAAATGCCTTCAAAAACATTTCGTTCTCCATGGATCTTCCGGGCGTTGATTTCATTAAACAGCTGCATCATGACAAAGGTGTTGAAGACAATGGTGTAGTGCTCAGAGGGAGGAGCGTGAAGAGGGGCGTTACGTCCACTGTCGATGTCGAATATCTTTTCACCTGAGAAATGAGCAGAAAGTAAAACATTGTAGCATTGGAAATAAGACTCCCTTGAAGGACACAGCCCTTTGTGCATTTACTATCCACCTTATTTTTCAACGCGGAAGTAAGCTGTTTTCTGTGAATGTGCAAGACTTCCAATTCTTTACCTGCTGTATTGAAACAACAAGAATAATCAAGTGCAGTAAACGGTAAAACTGTTACAAACTGGTGTTTATAATTAAGACAATACATTAAAATAATAGGGTAAGAAACACCAGTTTGCAATATCAAATGAGCTGTTTTGTACGGCTAAAAATAGCTTGAAGCGGATGAGATCTCGCTCAGCATGGTCAATTTCATCCAGGTCATCCAGCTCCTCCAACTCCTCATCTGGGATTTCTTCCTTCTGCGTTCCATGACAGACATTAAATTTACAAATGGCCGCGCCCGCTCTTACAGCAAAAATAAGGTGGATATTAAGGGCACAGTTGACTGACGCTTACAGCAAAGGTGCAAGGTGACAAAACGGTTTATTAATTACTTTATTATTTACATCATTTTAACTTGAATTTCCATTTGCTTTATGCTATTATAATGAGCATGACTTGGTTCAATCACATGTGTTGTTAGTTTTTACCAGCAAAAAGTAGAGTGAAGATGATGGTGAGCTGGTAGACCGCATGACCCAATATGTTCTTCATCATTGTCCGGGAGATGAGGGGTTTATTACGGCCGTAAGGCTTCCTCAGCAGAAGAGATTCAGTGGGGGGTTCAGTGGCCAAGGCCAAAGAGGCAAACGTGTCCATAATCAGATTTACCCATAACATCTGTACAGCTTTCAAAGGAGAGTCCTAGGAGAGTGAGAGATAACAGGAGGTGACCGTTCTGACCTCATTCACTGCTGCCACCTTCAGAACATTCAAGAACTCCCTTTCAGCTATGCATTCCTTTCAGCTATGCATTTGATTGAGTACTGAATCCTTCACTGAGGTTTTTTTTGGATTTTGGGGAAAGAATTCTGCATAATGAATTTAAAGATGAGAATCCTGAGCTGAAAAAAAGAATCAGATTAGACAATATTTATGACAGGTGCTGAAAATTCTGGTGGGGTCTGATTATGAGTGGGCCTACTCATGAGCAATATCCAGGGAAAATTACACACGAAACAAGCAGAACACCTGAGGCTTGAGGCCACGTCCAGCCTTGGCTACTGACAGCATTGCAAAGTGCAAATGTAATCCTCCCATTCATTATGCAATAATACAGGACCTCAACTGCAATCAGCCCGACTATCATTCCATTTAACAGAGGAGAGCTGGCTCATTTGGACTGGTGCTTTGCCTGTGGACAGCAGTCCCAGACCCCATGCTGACTGCCTGCAAGTCTTCCTGCCTCAGACTAACAATTTCCAATCACTTCACACAAGATGGGTAGCAATCAGCTGCTTCCATCAGCCACCATGGTGCATCTGTTAAGACGCAATCCTTTCCGTAGAGCTGCACTATTTAGCTTAACAGCTCCGTCATTTTGCTTCATGGTTAAAGAGAGCTTTTTATAGTGATACCTGTGTGATGCAAGCTCCAGTGAAGGCCACGATCACAGCCACCACATTGACGGTGAGCTGGAACTGAAGGAATTTTGAAATGCTGTCATACACGTTCCGCCCCCACATTACGGCCTTGACGATGCTGCTGAAGTTGTCGTCAGTGAGAATGATATCGGAGGCTTCTTTAGCCACGTCTGTGCCGGCAATGCCCTGAGAATAAAAAGCACACTATATAAAAAAGCCATTCAAAACTAAATCTAGCACACAGAATCCTTGGAGAAGTCATTTTTTCGTAGCCACTTCAGGCAGACTCACATACCATGGCAAAACCAACATCTGCCTTTTTTAAGGCAGGGCCATCATTGGTACCGTCTCCTGTTACCGCCACAACCTGCCTCCGCTCCAAAACGGTGCTGTCAATTATACCTGAAGGAAAAGACATGCATCAAGACAAACTAGCATGACATTACTGAGCAGAATTATATATTTTTTTAACACAGAGACTCGCTCCTCCAGCATGAGCGAGTAATGCTGAGCACCTTTGACTAGTGTATGCTTGTCTGTCGGGGAAGATCTCGCCAGCACCCGGAGTTTAGGCCATATTTTGTCAATTCTCTCTTGTTCAATCTGGAAAAAAAAAGGGATTACATTATAAGCTTGTGATTTTCTGTGTTTCTGTGAGTCTTGCTGCTAATAAATTGTGCCTCTCACCTCTCCTTTTTCATTACGGATCCGGCGGTTGAACTCTTTGCCCTCCAAGCAGAGGAAGTCATCTCCTGGCTGCAGGATGCCACATTTAGTTGCTATAGCGCGGGCAGTGTTAAGATTGTCCCCGGTGACCATGCGCACCGTGACTCCAGCACGCTGGCACCTTCTAATGGCATCAGGGACCTGAGCAGGAAACAATAAGTGAGCGTGACCGAGAGAGCTTATTATATGACATTACATAGTCTCTCTTGCTATAGAACATGGTTTTATTTACTTTGAAGTATTAATTTTACAAAGAAATCCCTCTTAAAAACTTGTTAAAATAGCTAAGGCTTGTACCTCTGGTCTAACTGGGTCTTCAATGCCCACGATACACACACAGGTGAGCCTGGTCAGGATATCGCTCTCATTATCCCAGTCTGGTTCACCTTCAGAGGCAGGGAAGTCCCTGTAAGCCAGGCAGATGGTCCTCAAGCCCTCAGAGGCCATTGGTTCAATCACTCTCTTCACCACGTCATCTCTGTCCCTGGGCCGAAAAACCTTTGCCTCGCCCGTCACTGTCAGGATTTTATAACACCTGTGTGAGGAGAGAGCAGGTAAGATATTGTAGATACCCAACAGCACACAGCAACTGAGCCATCCAAGTAATTTCTCCGGGGAAATCTATCAGTAACACAGCCTCGGGGGGCTTTAGAGGGAGAGGTGAAGCATTTGATCTGCCAATCAAGTTTGCTGACACACCTCTCACATGCTTCTTTAAGGAAAGCACTACAGTGTTTTACTTATCCTATAAGATGTTAAGGCGTTAACTTGTGTCAGGCATTAACAATGACCAAACATTTATGATTGAGGATGGCATACTTCTTCAGCAGAATCTCGGAGGCTCCTTTGCTGAACATCCGGAAGCTTCCATCAGTATTCTTTAGCACGGTGCTCATGGATTTCCTCACGGAGTTGAAGGTGTAGACTTTGTAAAGCTTCTCTTCAGGGATTTCGTTGCGGACTGCTTGATAGTCTTTTTTCAAGTCCATGGCAAAGCCCAGCAAGGCACATTCAGTTTTGTTGCCCACCTGACGATTCAGGCCTCCCTCCTTCTCAGGGGACTGAAAAAAAAATAAAAAATATACCCATTAAAACACTTTGAGTTGTTGTGCAGTATTTTATTCAGCCATTGTGACAAAACAGCCCATTAGGCACCACTGCCAAATAAACAGTAGTAAAAGACGCTGCATTATGGTCTGCTGCTGTTATTTAATTTCAGTCATATCTGACTCAAAATGAACTAGGAGCTGTAACTGTGTTGTGTACTTAAAGCTTGTGAGATTCAGTGTTATTTTAAAAGTGCTATTTATATACTATTATAGTATTAATATTTTGAATTAGCCTTGATTTTTATATCTTCAGTTTTAATTTCAGTACAAGCTTTATGTGGTTTTGACATTTTAAAGTTTGTTCGTTCTTTTACATACATTTTTATATTGTTTTTGTTTTAGTAAATTTAATATTTTAACTTAAACCTGTTTATTTCAGTTAATTGCCAAGGTAATAGATCTAATTTTCATGTTTCATGTAATATTTATTTTATTTTAGCTTTACTTATCAAAAACCATTCGTAACAAACCTATTAAAAATAACAACACTGGTGAGATTTACCTCAAGTCATTACAGACTGATAGTTCATAAGTCAATGTGTAGTTAAAAATGCTCAATAAAAAGTTAAAATTTTTCCTTTAATTTAATACAATTAATTTACAATGATGAAAAAAAAAAAAAAAAAGGGTATTATGCTTGTCTAAGGACTCACCATGATTTTGGTGGTGTAAGCACAGTTGACACTGATGCCCAGTATGAGCAGGTCCATGGTGCTGGCAGGAATGACATCAGGCTCAGGGACTTTCTTGTAGTGCTTGTCAGAGATAAAAACCTGAACAACTCTCATCCGGTTCATAGTCAGAGTCCCTGTCTTGTCCGAACAGATGGCTGTGGCATTGCCCATGGTTTCACAGGCATCGAGATGCCTCACCAAATTATTGTCTTTCATCATTTTCTAAAATATAGCAGCAAAGTAAAACAATGAAAAAAAGTTAGATGGAATGGAGGGGGGGTGATAGACAAATCAACAAAAAACAGTCCACTATTAAATGGCAGAAATCCAGAGATGTAATATTACTGTACCGGCAACAAGGGGAAGTTAATAGATGCAAAAAGATATGGCAATTCGTATGATTATTAGATCAACATGTACTGTACATTGACTAACAAAAGTCTAGACAGAGGGCTAATGTCACAAGATGGTCGGTACAGGCCATGAATATTTAAACAGAAGATGCAGGGTCATACTTTGACAGAGTAAGCCAGCGAGATGGTTACAGCCAGCGGAAGACCCTCTGGGACGGCCACCACCAGCACGGTCACACCGATGATAAAGAACTTGACAAAGAACTGGACATAAATGGGAGTGCATTCTTTTTCCCAAGGAAGTCCCTGGATCCAGAAAGTGTCCACCACGAACAGCACCACCAAGATTATCACTGTGATAGCTGACATCACTAGACCTGCACAGGAACACGTACATTAAAGGTCTGGGTATACTTACCGTTCCGTTCAGTCTCGCACACGGTGGCGTCCGCACAGCTTTCAAAGTATACTCAATCCCGGATAAGCACAGATGGACAAGTTCGACACATGTACAGACCACTTTCTTGACTCGTTCAGTCTCAACATTAACCTCTGTGCTGTTGTACGCAGCACATCTGCACAGTCACAAAAATTGGGCTGCATGCGGATGGTGTGCGCGGACACTTCTGATGATGAAACCTGCATCACGAGGACAGTGGAACGCGGACGGCCGAATTATACTTTGGGCTTAACACTTCTAAAGCACACGCTGCACACACCTGAGTTCACAGCAAAAACCATTAGCACTGTGAAATTGACTGTTAGGCTCACAAAGTCGCTTGACAAATGCAGTTTTCTGTCCTTTGTTGACATGCTTCCTATTGAAACCAGAAGTTTGGCAAGACATCCTTTTTGAAATAGCTAACAGACTTTAGTTATGTCACAGTCATGAACCTACTGCTAGTCAGTTGCAGAAGGTAACTGGGGCGGGATTTCATTCTTGAGAGCATTTGATTGGACAGTAATCGGTTTAATGCAGGAAGAGTCATCAATATATTTAGCCAGTTTTCCCAGAAAAGTGTACATTTTAAATGCATCTTCTTCCTAAAGTTTCATTTTTTTTCTAGTTTTTTGGAGGACACTAGCATAATAAATGATCTCAAAGCAACCATGCTTACCTGCTTTTCCAATTTGGACCGCTAATTTGGTCAGTTTCCCTTGCAAAACTGATTTCTCTTTCTTTGGCATGTTGGATTTTTTCTTCTCCTCACCCTCAGCCCCTTCATCACAGTTTAGAGGCTGCATCTCCATTGCTGCACCATCCTGGGCTTTAGCTACAAATAGAAAGAAAGAAAACTGTGAATATCAGGGATGAACTATCTGACAAGCTGATGTCAAAACAGAACTGTGCATTAAGTGATGCAGAGTAAATTCATAGTAACAAAACTACAGCAGCAACAAGTCTGTGTTGGCTGAATATATTTAACAGCTTCTACAGTTAAAGATAAAACTTCAAGCACTCTTTTTGATGAGTCCTTTTTAAGGCAATGTTTGAAAAAATTTTTTTTTTATTAAATCTAAAACAATTAATGCATTATTATTAAATTATTATACCATTACAAATTAAGTTCATTTGTAGGTAACTAGTTAAGTATTTAAATAATTAATCCTTCTAGGCTGTTGGTGACTGGGCTTATTTGTTTATTGATTTTTAAATGACATAAGACTCTGGACTTTGTGACTTCCTGCACTTGCTATACTTCGTAGTCATTTTGTAATAAACCCAAAAGCAAGACGTGAATAAAAACCGTTCTGCTGCACAAACGTGTGTTTATCGTGTTTGGTCACTGTTGCTATGGTTACTGGTAAGGAATACGGGCTCCCGTTGCACGTTCATACAGACAGTATTCGAGAAGCTACTGTAAGTTGCTGTGTGAACGGGACACCTGTTTGTAAATGCGGTTGTCAATCCCACAAACGGACAGTGTGAACGTAGCCAATGATTAATCCTCTGCTGCCATCTACTGGGTATAATGTTAATCATGTCCTTTTATCTTACAAGTCTTTGTTTTTCATGTCAGCTTCATGAATGTAAAGTGAATCTTTAAAATGAATTTTAACTGTAGAGTTAACAAAATAATAATACAGGGTTTAAAATATAAGTGTTTAAAAAAAAATTTTAAGCTGGGTGAGTTTGCATCCCTGGACTATGCAGTGGGCACAAAAATTTGAGTATTCTAGGCTGTTGGTGACTGGGCTTATTTGTTTATTGATTTTTAAATGACATAAGACTCTGGACTTTGTGACTTCCTGCACTTGCTATACTTCGTAGTCATTTTGTAATAAACCCAAAAGCAAGACGTGAATAAAAACCGCTCTGCTGCACAAACGTGTGTTTACCGTGTTAGGTCACTGTTGCTATGGTTACTGGTAAGGAATACGGGCTCCTGTTGCACGTTCATACAGACAGTATTCGAGAAGCTACTGTAAGTTGCTGTGTGAACGGGACACCTGTTTGTAAATGCGGTTGTCAATCCCACAAACGGACAGTGTGAACGTAGCCAATGATTAATCCTCTGCTGCCATCTACTGGGTATAATGTTAATCATGTCCTTTTATCTTACAAGTCTTTGTTTTTCATGTCAGCTTCATGAATGTAAAGTGAATCTTTAAAATGAATTTTAACTGTAGAGTTAACAAAATAATAATACAGGGTTTAAAATATAAGTGTTTAAAAAAAAATTTTAAGCTGGGTGAGTTTGCATCCCTGGACTATGCAGTGGGCACAAAAATTTGAGTATATTATCTGCTGCTCTGTGCTGGGGACTATGATTTTCTCCACAAGAAGCATATTCTAATTAAACTGTGGTTCCCCCACGTGACAAATACAATTAACCCTCTGATAAATCGTGGTCACTACAGTGGACAGCTATTTGGAAGCCATTTTGAACCATTTAAGATGTAGCATCATGTCCCAACCACCAACTGGCGAACAAATGATTGTTGTCTACGATTCCATTTAATTGTTGTTTTTTTAAACTGGGTATAATGTTAATCATGTCCTTTTATCTTACAAGTCTTTGTTTTTCATGTCAGCTTCATGAATGTAAAGTGAATCTTTAAAATGAATTTTAACTGTAGAGTTAACAAAATAATAATACAGGGTTTAAAATATAAGTGTTTAAAAAAAAATTTTAAGCTGGGTGAGTTTGCATCCCTGGACTATGCAGTGGGCACAAAAATTTGAGTATATTATCTGCTGCTCTGTGCTGGGGACTATGATTTTCTCCACAAGAAGCATATTCTAATTAAACTGTGGTTCCCCCACGTGACAAATACAATTAACCCTCTGATGCATCGTGGTCACTACAGTGGACAGCTAGTTGGAAGCCATTTTGAACCATTTAAGATGTAGCATCATGTCCCAACCACCAACTGGCGAACAAATGATTGTTGTCTACGATTCCATTTAATTGTTGTTTTTTTAATCCATTTTTTTGTTTTGATATATTGCATAATATATTAAATAGTCTTCAGATTTTATCATTTATTTCAATGCTTACAGTCTATATTTATTTATTAGGTCATATAAAACTGTAGACATGTATACTGTATGAGTGCAGATATATGTGTGCATGATTGTGTTCGAGTGTGTGGTGGGAGGGTGTGTGTGCTTGTATTTGTGCTCACATGTGTATGAATAATATAAAAAAAATAATATTACTTTGTGATTTAATAATTCATGCATCAGAGGGTTAAGTGAGCAGATAAATTATATTATAATAGTGATTATAAATGAATGATAATTTTATTACAGTAGGAGCAAACACAGCTCAAGAACATCCTCACATTTAGGAGCCACATGCAAACCCATGTGACCAAGTATCCTAGGAGACATAAAACCTCATCACCACACTCAGATGTCCAGTCCATCACTTATCACCATCGGCTATAAAAGAAGACATGCACATACTTATCCCGATCTCAAGGCCATCGCTCTGCGTGCTGAAAGTACAGCCTGCCAGTGAGGTAACATCACACAAACAAAGAACTCGGCATGCGTGCAATCATACAGACAAGCACGCAGCAGTGCATCTCCGTCGGCCTGTGTGCAGGATTTAACCGGTGTGTGATGTGAGGTAATGCGACTGCGTTTGAATTAGCGGGGGGGTAAGGGCCGACATGAGACTGCTATTCTACTGTGCAGTGTTGTCGCGCTCTACTCACAGAGCTGTAATGGTAGTCTGGTGGATTAGAGCTCATTTCTGGCGGGGCGATCTGTAGCAGGGGCTTCAATAAACACAGGCGTGCGCTACTTATAGAGAAAACACTACAGAGTTGGTTTCTGAACACAAGGCGGCCTGACTGTGGACTCTTTCCTGCTTGAGTAGGTGATTTTAGATGATAAAAGGTTTGAAGAGAGACAGGTGCAGATACCTTGATATAAGAACACAGCTGCACAGCATGTTGAAAAGTTTAGGGTTAGTAAGAATTTTTTAATGTTTTTAAATGAAGTCTCATGTTCACCAAAGCTGCATTTATTTTTTCAAAACTGATCAAAAACATATTACAACTTAAAAGAACTGTTTTCTATTTTAATACATTTTAAAATGTAATTCATTCTTGTGTTGGCAAAGCAAAATTTTCAGATGCTCCAGTCTTCAGTGTCACATGACCCTTCAGAAACTAGACCACAAATGCACAAAATTGCAATGAGGTGCACTGAACAGCAACTTGGGGCCCAACCTCTGCAAGTACTGAAATATTCATGTATCTGCAGGCACTCATTTGGAGACCCAACACGTGAGCCATGGGCTGCAGAGATGCATTAAATGGCAGTTAGGTAATGGAGCGCACAAGAAATCGTTACATTTTTCTATGAGTCATTGCTTCAGACATTTTTTTTTACCAGACAGAAAAATACTGCTAATTTCTAAAAAAAAAAAAAATAATTCTCACTTTTCCGAGTTTGACAAAAGCACACTTTCATGAAGGCTGGAACACACACATGCAGCCTATTCTATTCATCTCTCTGCAGCCACAGTAGCAGATTGAAGAGACTGAAAAGGCCACTGGTTGGTCTATTTTAGTTTCTGAGGCAGACTAAAAAGACACCAAATAATCCAGACAACTTACTTTTCTTCTCTTTCTTTTTCTCTTTCTCTTTCTTCTCCTTCTCTTCATCATCATCATCATCTTCTCCCGCCCCCAATAACGTGAAGATGATTCCAGTTTGGGAATTGACTCCAACAGCAGTGACAACCATTTTTCCAGAGCCCTCCATGACATGAGTACCTGCACAGAGGAAGATGAGGTGAATAAGGGTCACATGCCGCTCATATTGGTGCCAATACATTCACGACTGGATCTAAAACACTCACACAAAGCTCAGTTTACGACAAATAACTAGTTGTCCAGTGTTTTTCCCCACACAGAACAGGTTTACCAAACTTGCTCTTAAAACATGGGTATAAAGATGACTAAGTATTTGACATAAAAAAGGTGATTATAAAAACTGCCCTAAAAATGTCCCTGAAAATCAATACCTATGCAAATATTGGCCCTTAATATAAAAAGTTAATTTCTGACCCTGGTCCACACCAACGCACAATAATGCTCTGTTTATTATAAGCATGTGCTGCAGTTATGTCATCTGCCACTTTAAATGCTTGAGTTCTTTAAAGCAGAATGGATTCTGATTGGCTGTCAGTGTTTTTCATCATTCGTCAGCTGGATACAATTATTTTGAAATTAATTCCAACAGTTGTTATTCTGTTATTATCGTTATAGTTGTGGTGTGGACTCCGTTATTCTTTAAATTTAGAATGATTTTTAAAATTATATCTTTGTTATCGTTCTTTGGATGAAGGACTCTTGAAACAGGATGAAGACTCAAAACAGGCAGATCTTCAAATCAAATGACATATTATTGGGCTCTATGAGCACCAGCCAAAGGTAAAAGCAGAAATGAGTGGCCATTTTCTTCCTGGCCTTCAGAAATGAGCTTCAGTATAGCCCTCAATAATTGTTTAAGCTTGAGAAGGGGCTCTGAAAAACTGTCAGGGAGAGGTTTTTGCTGGGTTAGACTTAGTATGCTAACGCAGGCTCTGCTGGAGAAGTGCCCACTCCTGCTCACAAATCCCCCCTCATCTCCTCTGGGATGGCACACAGCAATGTCATTCTATCAGAGAATCAACTGGCTTTCATAAAATGGGATTAGCTGAAGATGTGCAATAGCCTCGCTGAGAGGTAGCAGGTCCTACATAGCAAACATCTGAACTCCCAAGATGGACATTTATTTGGTTCGGCTGAACTTTTGGGTAGAGTTGAGACAGGACACAAAGAAAATGCTAAAATGTTACAGGGTTGTGCAGCCAAATGTGAATCAAAAGTGTGTTTTGTTTTGGTTTGTTTCACTAGTGACGGGTTGCAGTCTCTGTAAATAGTAGGGTTATGTCCCTCTTTAAATTTAGAATGATTTTTTAAATTATATCTTTGTTATCGTCCTTTGGATGAAGGACTCTTGAAACAGGATGAAGACTCAAAACAGGCAGGTCTTCAAATCAAATGACATATTATTGGGCTCTATGAGCACCAGCCAAAGGTAAAAGCAGAAATGAGTGGCCATTTTCTTCCTGGCCTTCAGAAATGAGCTTCAGTATAGCCCTCAATAATTGTTTAAGCTTGAGAAGGGGCTCTGAAAAACTGTCAGGGAGAGGTTTGTGCTGGGTTAGACTTAGTATGCTAACGCAGGCTCTGCTGGAGAAGTGCCCACTCCTGCTCACAAATCCCCCCTCATCTCCTCTGGGATGGCACACAGCAATGTCATTCTATCAGAGAATCAACTGGCTTTCATAAAATGGGATTAGCTGAAGATGTGCAATAGCCTCGCTGAGAGGTAGCAGGTCCTACATAGCAAACATCTGAACTCCCAAGATGGACATTTATTTGGTTCGGCTGAACTTTTGGGTAGAGTTGAGACAGGACACAAAGAAAATGCTAAAATGTTACAGGGTTGTGCAGCCAAATGTGAATCAAAAGTGTGTTTTGTTTTGGTTTGTTTCGCTAGTGACGGGTTGCAGTCTCTGTAAATAGTAGGGTTATGTCCCACCTGACAGCAGCATAGGATCTTTCTCCATCGATTTCTTCACATGGTCAGACTCTCCAGTTAAAGAGCTCTCATCTATTTTGAGGTCATTGCCCTGGATGAGAATGCCATCAGCAGGCAGGAGGTCACCTGATGAAGAACGTATCCCATCACAATAATGTACATTACCGTGAGCAGCTTTTGAATTTATTTCAAGGTGACTATACAGAAAAATGTATACAGAACTACAGCTGAAAAATGACTATACAGAATACAGCTGAATACCAGTGAAATGTCAGACAGATAGGTTTTTTTTTTTAAATACTATACTCGAACTTTTGAATTTCCCTCTAAAAAGGAAATGAAACCTCTGCAAATTTATGTCGGCTTACCATATTTAATTTGTGCAATGTCCCCTACGACAATCTCGGCCACAGGGATCGGAAGGACTTGCCCTCCCCGAACCACCATAAACTTCTGCTCTTGTTCAATGCGGCTCTGTAAGCCACGGAACTGCTTCTCTTTGCTCCAGTCATTGAAGGCCGTCACGAGCACCACGCAAATAACAGATAGAAGGATAGCTGCTCCTTCGATCCATCCGGCCTCAGCTTCTCCTTCATCCTCTACTCCACCCGCTGCTTCTCCACAATCTGCGCACACACACACACACACAAAATAAAACTCGGCTCAGAACAACCTGAAATTGAGATGATGATCTATAAATAAGGCAGAAGGAGATAAATAGGTTACTTACTTTGAGTTTCTGAATCCGGAGGTTTATAAAAAGAAAGGCCCAAAGAAACTATTGCTGCCACTTCCAAAATAATCAATGTTACGTCTTGTAATGCTTCCCATACTAACTGAAGAAAGGTTTTTGGCTTTTTCGGAGGTATAAAGTTCTGTCCAAATGCTACTTCTCTTTTTTCAATATCTGGGGGCTGCCCACTTAATCCTGGAAGAAAAGAGTAAGAAAAATTTTTTTATAATTCAAGTAAACACTGAATACAGCTCTTCTTGTATTGCAGCATACGATGCTTAATGCGTTTCTATGAGAGCCAGGATTAGTGAGGAAGAAAGGACCTGTGGGTCAGCAACAGTAGCTTTTAAAGATAAAGACTTTCTGAATAAGATCAAAAGGTTATGGAGAAGCAATACGACTAAAATTAGGGATTGGGAACTCCACATACATATATATATATATATATAAAAAGGTAATTTTGTTTAGGCAAACATTTTACAAGGTTGATCAAATGGAACAGAGAATTGTTGACTTCTTTAGAATGTATAGCCTACCATTTATTATTATATTATTTATATTTACATCTATTTACATTATCGTTCAAACATTTGAGGTTAGGGCTGCAACAAACGATTATTTTGATAATAGTTTAATCTAACGATTATTAGAACGATTAATCGACTAATCATCGATTATTTCGCTGATTAATCAGTGGACATTTTTTGATTATTCATCTTTTGCAATTAGTTAAAATATCGAGTTATACATATTCTAACAAATAAATTAAGGTAATCACTTCAGCTTTTGAAAGTCATAT